CGCGCAGCCCACCCACTCTTGGTTCAAGGGCAGCCTAGTTACAGAGATCCCGGTTCAGATACTCACAGGCAATGACACTGATTACTTGGCAGGATGTGTAAGATAAACCTTTCTATTCTCTTCGGTACCACCCTGGTGGACTCTGATACATCTTCCCTTCAATTATCAAGTAGGAGTTCATTCACTGAGGGAAAAATGTCATCAATGCTCATGTGTCTTGGTGGCATAGTTCTTTAACGTCATACTTTTACTCTTCAGAATCTTCAGACTTAAAATCAAGAGAACCATCTGACCTAAAAAAAAATCATCTGCTTTGGAATCTAAAAGCTATTGATCATTATTTGTGCATAATCCTGAAACAAGATACTGCTTAGAAGTGTGTGTGCACGTGTGTATGTGCGTGTGCATGTGTATGTATACAAGCTTTGTAACTTTCAAGGCCAAATACCCAATGGCAAAACACAAAAGAGAGCGTTTCGTAGTGCATGGCAGGGAGTTGACCACATGCTAAACATAACTTACGGGGACACAGAGCGTAACATGTTCTACCACCCATACTGTGACTCAGGAGTATCCTCTTTCAAGTAAGTGGTGAGTCATGGAGATGTGCAGAGGCGGAGCTTCTTTCTTACACATAATTCCTGTTTGCTTCCAGGATTAGTCAGATTTCTAGAAAAACAAAAGCCTGAGCAAACAGCACACCATCCCTTGAGACCAGATAGAAGAAGGAAGGACGTGGAGAGATTACAGTTTATAGGCCGGGCAAGCCTAATAGCAGCAATGTGCTGCCCTCATCTTCCCCAGATGGCACTTCATCTCTACAAAGACATTGGACAGGGTGTTCTATTTCCCTGCATTGCAAAGGAAGAAAAAGTTATAGATTTCTTTGCCTCAAAGCAATCTTCTAGAGAAAGCAATTGTTCCCTCCACATCAGTATTTTATCAGAATCAAGACTTAACGGTAAAATAAAAGGAAATGAATCCTGTTCTCCCGATTGCCCAGCATGCACGTATTCCCAGTCTTTCTTCTTCCCCTAATAACACTTAACTGGATCTTAAAATGTGGTTTTTCTAAGAAGGAACTGTATGTTTTCAGAACGCTTTTTCACAAACAGGACTTCCTCTAGTGCCAATGTTCTTCCTACGTGAAAATGATGCTGTCAATTTTTGTCATACTTACATCACCCTAAATGGATTTTTTTCTTTTTTTACAGAATTTATACTAACCTAGTTACCCTCCCCACATGGCATAAAATTCAAGACAGCAGGCTGAGTGCTATAACCATAGAACAGATAGAAAGTAACAGTCCCACAGAGGAACTAAACTCTCGCTGTGTTAAGAAATACTAAGATACCCTCCACATTCGGCTCTGTTAGACTGCAAGGGGTATTTTGTTTATGAGTTTGCTAAACATCTTTAAAGCACTGCCTTTGTTTCCACAGGACAAAAGTAGTTAATCAAAGAACAGGTTAGCTAACACAATTTTAAGATTCAAAATTATATACAAATAGATTTTGAGATACATTGCCATGATATATCAATAAAATGAACGGTGGAAACTATCTCCTTTTAATTTTATCTGCAGTTTTAATGTTTCCATTATAATTATTTACCTCATTTTAAAAAATGGAAACTTAGAACCACTTATATCATTCCCTCACATTGCTCACATTGTACCCATGTTACTGAAGAAATTATAAATCCTGAAATATCATGTTTTCACATCATTTTCCCCATTGCAAACCAGTTAAAGAATGAGAAAAGGAGTGATTACAATTAAACATGACTTAAGACTTGGGGAAAAAAAATGATTTGTGTTCAGAAATCAATGTGTTTATATAGATACCTGGGGATTCTGAGTCAAACGCAGAGATAAACAAGTTTGTTCCAACTCTGACATTCAAAGATTTTCTAAAGAATACTACACAAAACCAAGTATGTTATTTTAGACATACTTCCTAACTATTGCCATTTATAAGAAACAACTCGAAATTCTGCTCTGGCTTACATATCGTTTAAAAAACTTGTTCTAAATTTATTTGTACTGTGTCAATTATGTGAATAAAATAAAAGCTGAGAAACTCTCCCTAAGAAAATATTTTTGTTAGAAACCCTGTCCTGCTACCTTCTGAGCTTCTTGAAAATGAAAATCTCAGGCCGGCCCCATGGCGCAGCAGTTAAGTGCGCGCACTCCGTTGCTGGCGGCCCCGGGTTCGGATCCCGGGCGCTCACCACTTGTCAAGCCACACTGTGGCGGCATCCCATATAAAGTGGAGGAAGGTGGGCACAGATGTTAGCCCAGGGCCAGTCTTCCTCAGCAAAAAGAGGAGGATTGGCATGGATGTTAGCTCAGGGCTGATCTTCCTCACAAAAAAAAAAAAAAAGAAGAAAGAAAGAAATGAAAATGAAAATCTCTTGTGTCTTCCAGATGACAGCCACCTTTTCGGTGGAACCAAAATAGCTCTCTCAGCTAGAGAGCTGTCTGTAAGAGTTCTGACAGATATCAGATTTGGCATGCAGAAGGAAGGTGAGAAATGGTCCCAAGGCAGGAGGTTTGGGGGAGCACCTGACTAGCTAAGGAGCAAGGCAGGAGCGGCACTTGGAAGACAGTACACTCCTAGACACTAGACAGAGCATGAGGAAACCAATGAGCATTTCTGGAAATGACAGATAATCTTGGGGGAGAAAGGAGCCATTAGCTCTTGTGGGATTTTGAAAGGGCTGTGTAATAGATATAGAACTGGAAGGTTTCCATTCGTGAAGGGAATCAAATACACGTACATGCATAGGATTTTCTCTCCCTCTAGTGGTGGGGTGGGAGCCTTTGAAATGATATGCTATCACTGCATAATAGTGCTTCATAAACAAAGATGATTTTCCATTATAGTGCATTTTGCCCATAAAATTAGGATTTTCATTAGGTCTCCTGCTCTTTCCTATAGTGGTTTTCAAAACACCCTCAACCCTTCATTTCAGGGAGTGAATTGCCTCCTAAGTACGCTGATTACCAGTGGTAAGGTAGCAAGGATCTCCCTCTCCTTTTGGCTAAAAGATGCCCATGCTCACTCCCAAGATACAGGATTCCTCTCTCCTCTGAAGTCTTATCAAAGGTGGAAACATGCTGTGATCAGAGGCAACTCTCCTGATCCCCAGTCTGGCCAGAAAAACCTGAGGAGCTAAATACGAAAAAGAAAGCAAGCTTACCTAGTGTAAAGGTGGGAAATGTGGAAACTCAGAGGCGAGATACTAATAAAGGATCTAAAGAGTGATCTGAATCTGATAAAAAGGGCAATACATAATCAGAAATAAATTTTGAAACAAATCTCCACCTCTACTTAGCACTCTGTTATTTCTCTCATTTTCATTTTTGGTCATGTGAAAACATTTCTGGTGTAGCAATTTGGATCAGTGATAGTGGATGAAAAAATAGAAAGGATAAAAAAAGTAAATGATGACAATTTTAAGGAGAGTAACTTAAACAACTGCCTCCAAGGAGGAATTAAATTGCATAATATCATAGCAGTACAAGAGTATTAATGGAACTAGGTCATAAGTTACAGCTATCAAATCAATAGGTATTCATCAATAGCTGAAAATCTATCAGTGTGAAGTACATAGAGCACGCAGTTTTTTCCCCTGCTACATACTCAGAGTTAGGCATCAATGATGCCTACTTGACTTCTCTACTTGTGTGTCTCCAAGGCAACCAAACTCATATTTTCCTGCAAACATGTTTCCTTATCTCAGTAAATAACTCCATTAGCCATCCAGTTGTACAAGCCAGAAATCCAGGAGTTACTTGACCCCACCTAGTCTTCCACCATCATATCCAATCCATGACCAAGTCCTCCTATCTTCCCTCCTATATCTATCTCACATAGGTCAATTTCTCTTTGCCTCTACCACCACACTATTTCATTACCTCCCTCCTAAACAACTACTACTCCAAAGGGCATCCACTCCATCCTTTGTCAAATGCATTCTCCACACTGCACTACTTCATTCAACAAATATTTTTGAGGGGCCTACTTTGTACTCTGGTAATACTGTGTTGAATAAGACAGACAAATTCCTCATTCTCAAGGAGCTTGTGGAGACAGAAGATAAACATCAGATAGTCATAAGCACTATGTGGAGAATTAAAATAGGGTGATATGATAGAGAATGCCTGAATGGCTATTCTAAATTGTGTGTTCAAATACAAGAAATCAGTGGGAGTTTTCTCTGAGTATGAGTTTGGAAGTAGGAAAATAGAAGTCCACTGGGATGATGGTATCTGCTATCACGGCTTCCTCATATATAAAGAGAGTATTTCAAATACTGGCAAAGAACAAAAAGTAGAATAAGTTAAAATGCACCTGAAGGTTGAATCTGTCTGTCTCCAAGCATCTCTACTTAAATATATCACTTATTACCTACATAAAAATATCCTATTTTTGTTAACTTTTCTGTATGTCTCTTCTCCCAAGAAAGTGAGCTCCATGAGCATAGGGGCCATAACTGTCTTGCTGACTACTGTATCCCCAGTGCCTACGAACTGTGCCTGCCATATAGTAGGCACGCAAATAAGTATTTGTTGCATTAATACACAAATTGGTGTGTGAAGTGGCAAAGAGGAAAGAGAAAATAACTGAGTTTGGGGGTTCAGGAAATCTTCCCAGAGATGTCAAGGTCATTGACTTCAGCTCGAAAGGTTAATTGGGGTATAAAATCGCGGCCAGGTTTCTTAGCTTTGGATCTCCGACACCACCAGCTCTGACTCAAACTCACACGCTCACAGCAACAACCCTCTCCAACTCCCCGCTAGGAGGAGTCACACCTCCCGACCCAGAAACCCTTTCTCCCTCTCCTCGAGTTCTCCTTCCCTCCCCTCCACGCCAGGGTTCCGGTAGGCTTCTAGTCGCAGTGCTCACCGGGAATAGTAGTCTTCCGGTCCGAGCCGACAGAGTTTTTATACAGTTCCAGAACTACGCTTCCCAGGGAACCTCGCGGCAGAGGGTGGCTGTGTCATCTGACCAGAACTGCGGCAGAGGCGATGGCGGGTCCCATGCTGCGCTGGTGCTGTCCTGTAGGGCGTTGGGCTTTAGCCTGCATTGACGGCGGTTCTCGCTACGGAAGAGGGGCTGCGACTGGGTGCACGTCCAGCGGGAAAAGGGGACAGAGCTCAGTGGCTCAGCAGCCCCGCATCACGGCCCAGAAGCCAAGGAAGGGGTATACTATTTCATACCATTACTGCCCACTTAAGTGTGAGGTGGAACTACGGGACTGGGGAGATGATGGCCACTACAGCCCAGCCTTCAATCTAGGCGTTCTGATTGGCGGGAGGGTGTTAGGCTATAACTTGGAGTCCTGAAAGCACGAAACAGGCCCTCTGTCAGCCCCGCCCCCACACGTAAGCCACTGTCTTCAAATAGATAGGCATATTTGAGGAATTGGCGCGTGTAAACTCGCAGAGGTTTTCTTGAATCTAAAGCTGCACAGATAGAAGAGTGGATTCAGTCGCCTTACTAATAGCACCAGCAGTGGGGCTGGTGACACTAGAAGCGGGATCTTAATTAGCTGACGTTAGTTTAGCGCTGCTATGGGCCAGCAATGTTCTAAAGGTAGAAAGGGAGCCTTTACCTGCAAGCTGTGGATAGTGATGGCGTAATATCATAAGTCAGAAAACACCACCGGTCTCTGGAGGCGTTTCATGTTGAACATCGTGTCTAGACCTAGGAGGATGCAGCCAATACAAGAGATCTTCCCTCTGGTTATGCAGAGAGTTTTGCTTATTTTGCTAGATATCTTCTGAACAACTGTTTATACTTCACTATATAAGACCTAAGTGGTTTCTTTTTACACAGAAACATAAGGCACGTGTCTAATATTCTGTTTATCCTTTGAGATAGTTAGGTTGGCATTATTTTTGCTTCTCAGTTGGAGAAACAGAGGGAAAATGTCCGGAAGAATTCAGTTGCTATTCTTTTCGTAAATTAGGTAGTCTCACTGTGAATGGAAAGTGTTTTTTCTCTCATGTAAAGAAACTGCAAAAATACTTTGAATAATGTTTTAGTGAATGCAGAGTTTCTGATGAGTTCTTTGTTTAATTCCTCTCAATTACAGGCTGTGCTTCCAAACCTTAAAAAGAAGGAATTAATCTTCTCACAATACTACAGATATAGAACTTGTGTTGAAATGATTGAAACAAAACCCAATACGTATAAATAAAAATCTAGATAATATAGAAAATTGCTTGGGAGAAAAGCAGGATAGGAACAGACAAAATATAGACAGAGTATGTGTAAACAGGCCATCTGCAGGTTGTCCAGGATACATGAGTTTCAGAGGGATTAAGTACACTTATAAGAACCTGGAGAGACTTGTGTGTGGAATGTTCATACAGACCCAACAGAGTAGGAGGGGCCAGATAAGAGAGATTATTATAGCGTTTAACACCTTGTTAGATTTGATAGCAATCAAGTATGAACAAACAAGCAAAGGACCCTGGAACTAGATCTCGGGAATTGCAAGTGATTTGGGGGAATAAAAAAATGCCAGCTCTGATAGTTTAATGTTTTCCTTTGCACAAAATTCCCAGGAAGAGTATCATTTAGTGGTGATCTGTTATATGTGTCACTCTGGTCATTATTTGCAAGCCATTGTTAGGAAATGAATTCAAGCCATGACTGAGAATTTCCTTTTTTTTTTTTAATAATGAGCTGTGCAACTATTTATTTACCATTATTTCTTTAGTAGTAGAATCCTTATGTTTATGTTGATTCTAAAAATATTAGCAAGATTGGCTTTCTTCATTTACTGAATGACTAATTGATAAAGAACAGTTAATTTAGAAAATGCTGCTTTTCTCTGGTCAGCCAAGCAGTTACCACCTGATACCCATTTCTAAATTCTTTTAAGATGCCAAATTGTTCCTTTCTCTATCACCTTCCTGTTTGTACAGTGAACTCTCTTTATGCCATGTTCTAAATGAATTTTATGTTGTCAGTCTTGTAGGTGTTCTTTATGAATTGCTTTTGATTTAGTCACCAATACGACACATTTTTTAATGTAAGGATATAAATTTTTAATAAGTTAAAAACACAAACAGGAAATTAACATTTGTGTTTTAGGAATTGTGTATAACATTGTGTCATAGAAATTCATGCATGGTGACAGATCTAACTACTTCTTAACCATTATATCTTTCTCTTTAGTGAACACGAATGGGCAGCTGTGGTAGGTTTGGAAATTCATGCCCAGATTTCCTCCAATTCTAAACTCTTCTCTGGATCTCAAGTCCACTTTGCAGCACCTCCAAATTCTTTGGTATCTTTTTTTGATGCATCTCTACCTGGAACTTTGCCGGTAAGGTTTTTATTTAATCCTATTTTCATTAGAAAATGTGTATGTTTTATTGAACATAGATAATGATTTCCTTGTTTTAACATCTTGGCACAACTTTTAGGAAATACTTGTTTGGGGAATTTTGGATGAAGTGGGATGGACTAAATGTTTTCTAAAGACCGATCTCTGGGGCCGGCCCAGTGGCGCAGCGGTTAAGTGCGCACACTATGCTGCGGGGGTCCGGGGTTCGCACATTCGGATCCCGGGCGCGCACCAACGCACCGCTTGTTAAGCCATGCTGTGGCAGCATCCCATATAAAGTATAGGAAGATGGGCACGTGTGTTAGCCCAGGGCCAATCTTCCTCAAGAAGAAAGGGGAGGATTAGCATTGGATGTTAGCTCAGGGCTAGTCCTCCTCACGAAAAAAAAAAAGTAAAGACCGATCTCTAATTCTGTTTCTAAGTCTAAAGTCATCATACATTTAATCACTCGCATTTTAGAATGTCTACTAAATGCCAGACACTGTGCTATGAACTGGAACATAAAGGTGAGGGACAATCTTTGCCTTTGAGGAGTTCAAAGACTGGTTGGGGAGATGTGTCTTATAAACGGAGTACTGTGATTGCTCCTATGAAGGTAATTTGCAGAGGATGGTATTGGAACCCAGAGGAGGGACACCTAATTCAGTAAGAGAAGGACTATTGTGAGAAATTGGAGTAAGGGTATGGTTGGTTAAGAAAGGGTTGTGGAAGAGGTGGTGTCTCCTATCTGAGAAGCCAGATAGGAGTTAGACAGATAAATGAAGGAGGAGGAGGAGTCTAGTCAAAAGACGCAGCATATATTACATGGTATTACAGTGTAAGGTCTAATGATTGTGATTGTTGAAAATTAAGAACTGGTCAGTAATGGAGGAAGATGTCAACCACAATATGCATTGAGTTAACTACTCATATAACTACTCATTTGCGCTTGCACCCAAGGAATGACTGGATCCAGTGTACCCATCAGCAAGATTTTTAGCATATATTTTCATATAGTTGGTTGAATTTTGAAGAAAAAGATGAAAGGAACAATGTGAATATTTGGGCTAATGAATAGCTCATAATCTGTCCAAGACATATAATATCAACTGGGTGTGGGATTTCCTGCCATCTTTGGAGGGAATGTGAATATATGGTGGTGATGGGTGGTCGGAGGGATTGTCATGGGTGAATTCCGTACTCTCTAACATTTAAATACAAGCAAAAGTGGTTGAACTGAGCACCAGCAGGCTTACGGGGCAGAGGTTTACTTTTCTCAGAGTCACTGCCCAGAGTGGAAGGTTATAGGCAGTGCCTCCAATGTGCTTGCTGTCCCCAGGGCTTTGGTTGTATTGGGACAGTGTCTGTATCTTGGAACTTTTTCCTTACTTGTGCTTTTTGTTGTGGAGGACTCCCATCCGTGCTTTTTGTTGTGGAGGACTCCCATCCCTGCAAATGATATCTAGGGTCACCTTTGATTTACTGTTGGGTGTCTCTGGGGGAAGGCAAGTATAGTGCCCCTCTCTCTCTCTCTTTCTCTCTCCCCCCCCAACCCTTTCCCTCCCTCTCTCCCTCCCTCCCTGTCTCCCTCCCTCCCTCCTCCCTCTCTCTCTCTCCCCCTCTCTCCCTCTTTCCCTCTTTTCCTCTCTCCCTCATCCCTCTCCCTTTCCTTCCCTCCATTCTTCTCGTCTCTCCATCCCTCTCCCTCTCCCTCCCTCTCTCTCTCCCCTTCCCTCCCTCCCTCCATCCCTCCCTCTCTCCCTCTCCCTGGCTTAGAGTATCTATCTATGGAGAGATTTTTTTTTTGTTTGAGAAGACACAGTTTTTCAGTTATAAATCTATGAGTTCTTTTTTGGGCAGAGACTCAGATATTAGTAGAAATAAAGTAATATCTATTCAGACAAGTGAAATGGAAAGCAATTCATCACAACACTTCTTTTTTCCTTCTGAGCTCAAAACATTTTTTTTTTCACATAATAGTTCATCATCAAGAGACTAGACATAACCTCTGAATTCTTTCTAAGTTTTTCCAGCTGGGAATGTGGTATCTAGCAAGGTATGTATTATAGTTCACATTTAGAAACAGATATATTTGCAGGTAGGCGTAATAGGCTCTTCAGTTGTGGCTAAATGTGGTCAGGTATTAGAGACAATTCAAAAAAGCTAAAATGTCAAGATGCTTTGAAAGACTTCTGTTATGCACCAAAGAAGAAGGTACTTGCTGGTGATAAGCATGGCAATAAAACAGTGAAGGTGTTTGGGTCATTTGAGCATTGAGACTTTGGCTTATATTAATTAAATGACAGTCTAGAAAGGCTGGAAATCCAGTTTTACTTAAGCTGGGATTTGTTTTTCCCCCTCAGAGCCTACCACACTGATGGTTTGAGTAGCCTAATGGGTTATTCTCTCGACAGAGCTAATCTGCCTCTTTTTCAGAAATGTTTCTGAAAAAGATAAGTGTTTCTTTAAAAGACCTATTTTAGTATGTGAGCAAAATTATACCATAACTACCAGAATAAAACATTGTCACTCCCATAGCATTTCAAAACTCTGTGGTTTACCTATATGTCAATTTAAAATATACTGAAACATTTAGACAGTTGTCCTTCTCTAAGCCCTATGGGGATGGTGTATTGATGCTCTGATATTCTGACTCTGCAGTTGGTTATTTTTGTACAAAAAATGGTGACCATTTGTCAGATACGCTGATAAGAAGATAGAAAAAGGCAGCCAGAAGAACTTAGGTTACGGTGTAAAGTTTTTTTCTATAGACAAAACTTGGTTTATATGTAATTTCATTTGCTCTGCTGACCCATTAAAGAGAAAATATGATAATCTGTATCTTCCTGTGGGCATTTGATTCTCCTTTTTTCTTGATTGTGTCTTCATTCATTGACTCAACTGACATTTATTGGATGCCTACCGTACACTAGCCATCGTATGAGCTCTAGTGACACAGCTTTAAACAAGGTAAAGCATAGACAGGTTCTGGTCCTCACGGAGCATGGACAAGTGAGCAGGCAGTTGCAGTATCTTTTAATGAACATGTTGGTGGTGGAAATACAGGGTGCTCTAGGAGCACATAGGAGGGGCATTCCACACAAATATAGGGAATTGGCAAAATTGGCCAAATAAAAGTGAATGGGCTGTGGGCCGGCCCCGTGGCTTAGCGGTTAAGTGCACACGCTCTGCTGCTGGTGGCCCGGGTTCGGATCCCGGGCACGCACCGACGCACCACTTCTCTGGCCATGCCTGGGCCGCATCCCACATGCAGCAACTAGAAGGATGTGCAGCTATGACATACAACTATTTACTGGGGCTTTGGGAGAAAATAAATAAATAAATAAAATTATTAAAAAAAAAAAAAAAGTGAATGGGCTGTACAAAGACCAGAAGAAAAATAGGACATGGCTTGCTCTAGGAACTGAAAGAGGTTTCATGTGTCGTAGCTGAACTTGAATATGGCATGGCAGGAGGTGAGGCTGGCGTGGGAAGCATGGTCTGTACCATGTAAGCCCTGCTAAGGGGTGTGAATCCCATTTGCACGGAAGTAGGAAGATGTAAGGAGAATACAGGGTCAGAAACTCCAAGGAGGGGCGTGTTTCGAGAAGGAGGGAGTACAGCCGTGTCGAGTGTTACTGGGAGGTCAAGTAAGGTGAGGACTAGGAAGTGGCCGTCGGATTTATCAGTGGGGTATCTTTTGCAAGAACGGTTTCAGTGGAGTGATGGGGGTGGGGGGTAGGAAGTAAGTGGCAGTATATTGAGAAATGCAGGGGTGTTGAAGACGAAGTGAGACAGTGGGCAACTGTTTCAAGAAGTTTGGCTGTGAAGGAAAAGAGAATGCAGTAGGTGAAAGGAGACATGGAATGAAGGGAAAATTTTTTATTGTCCTGTTTTCCTTAATATTGAAGAGACTTGAGAATGTTTAAATGCTGATAAATTATAGTCAGCAACAATATATTGTACACTTAATGTGTTAAGAGGGTAGATCTCATGTTAAGAGTTTTTACTGCAATAAGATAAATTTTTTTTTTAAATGCTGATGAGAGCGAACCAATGAAGAAGGTGCCGTTAAAGAGGCTTTGGGTTAATATGGCAAATTGAACATAAGCATTTCAGTCTGTCTCTCTCCCCAGCCAAAGAAACCCACTGAAATGACAGTAAAAGAATTGAAAATTTATAAATCTACAAGAGAATGGGAGAGGAGACCAGAGTGTATGAGAGATGGTAGATGGAGGAGGGCCTGACTTGGCAGAGAGGAGTTAAGTATAACCCAAGAAAGGGACAGAAAGCCTGCAGAAAGAGTCACAAGTGAGAAATGAGATGATATGCCTTACACAACCTCAGAAAGGGTCAGGATGTGGGATCATCAGCTATTGTGGAAGGCCAGGGAGAGGTGAAAACAAAGGGGTTAATTCAGAGTCTGGATACACAGCAGTTAGGCCTAAGGTCCTCTCCCTGACCCTTGCACCTGCCCCACCCTCACAGGAATCTGTGAGAAAGTCAGCTGATGACACACTCCCCTTGGGGACTCCAGGCAGAGTGAAAGGCACTGGTGTCAGATAATGTCTGCACTCTGAACTCCAGGGTCTGCCCAGTCGTTTTCTCTGCACTGTTCGAGGAGCTCAGGTGACCTGGTACGGCCATCTCTCTTCTTTCTCCCCTCCCCCAAGCAAGAACCTGCAGAACTTATTTGGAAATTATATGTCCCTAGAGGGAAGAACTTCAGATGTTGACATCTGGGGTTGGGGAGGGGGTCTCTCAATAAAAAAGCTACCTGGCCACCTAATTGTCCTACAGTGAAGGCCACCAGCCAACAAGCCCTGGGTGTTTACATAGAACTTTTAATCAGCATTTTAGTGCCTTACTTTACAATGTAAATTGACTGCCAAAAATCACCAGACATTTGAGGAAATTCTCCTATATAATGGACAGAGCCCAAAACAAAAAGAAACTAGAAGAAATAAGAGGCAATATATACTGCACAGGGTAAAAGAATA